GAATACTGACCAAGGTAGCAGTACCATTCAGTCAACTCAAAGAAGCGTTGAAATACTTGAAGAACTGTCGTATGTGGATCATAATATGGCCCATGAACCCAAGAAGGGAGGATGAGCCTATTATTGAGACTTTGCGGATATGCAAGAAGTACCTTGAAGAAGGAGGAAAGATTGTATCCGTGTGGCCGCCACCATTGTTCAAGAAGGTTGATATGTGGAAAACGAAGTCAAAAGTGTGGACGGTGATCGAAACAGTATTGAAAAAATGGGCAAACCCAAATCAGTTGTTCACGTTGGCTCCCTCAAGGACAGAAAATAGGAGAGTGATCATGGGAGCAGATGGACCCCAAAATTCTTTTCAGGTGTACGACACGCATTTCAGGGATGGATATGCGCACTACCTCTACAACGACATCCGCGGGAGAGTTCCCGGTGCAAAGCTCAGCAAGTTGCAGCAGCCGCCGAGGACGTCGGCTCCCGGAGGGGAGGGATGTCAGAGGGCGCGGATCACCGACCAACCGATCTCCAGTAGCGGGAGAAAAGCCCGCGCTGACCCCTTCGGCAGGATATAAATACCGGGAGTCAGGGGGAGGCCTCAGACCGCGCTGAGGAAGCGCTAGCGCGAGTTAACCCCGTCGAAGAGAGGCAGATCTCCCCCTTAGATAGAAAGTAACTAGTAAGCCTGCCGAAGTGGTCAAGAGGGTAAAGCCCGTTGTTTCGTTGTTAAGCCTTGTTCAAGTTACGCATTATTGTTTTTTGTTGTTTGTTGCCGTTTTTCTGAAATAAATTATTAGTCGTTCAACTCGTGTTATCTATCGATCCGGTCGAAACCGTCACACCACTAGACCACCCCCGGTTACACTCCAACTATCTGATGAAATATTTGCTTGCCGACTCGGCAAAAACTATTACGTAGAATATAGTCTAAAAGATAAATTAGATCATCTATTGTACAGTACCTATAGCCGTCTGTATCGTCCTGTGTCATTTGACCCATATCTGGAATTCGAATCTCGCAAAGTTTACTGATAGAAAACCGGCAATCATATTTACCAGAGACATGACACAATGAAGGTAATGGTAACTATGCATGTAGATGATCATGCAATATATGTAGATTAATGTCAAACACATTGTAGATATTCCAACCTTTAATCAACACTTTATCAAATATAGGCCTTGATATGCCCAATCTTTCAGCATCATGACTGATGATGTTATGCTCATTCCAGATGACTGCACTGTTCCTCAGTGGTCCGTGATACCTCGCTTCTAAGCTTGGCCTTGCTTGAGCGAAAGTTTTTTGAGCAACATATTGTCCCGACGGTTACAGAGATCAACAGTCCTTCGCGTTTTCTACAGCATTCTAATTCCCTTCTCTCCTCAAAGGCAGCGTCCCACCACACTGACGGTACCTGGCTCTGGTAGTAATGTTATGATAGACCCCCTAGCTAAGCGACGACAGAAATTTCCAGCGCAAAAGGGGGTCTACGAAGTCTACAAATTGCCCCACAAGCGGCCCGGATCTTACGGTAGGCTCGGACGAGTACGAGGTGTATGTAAGGTAGAGACGCAGAGCCGTTGCGGGACCCTGCGTTCATGAATGTGTGCGCTGTGCGTGCTCCGGTCTTGCAGTTCGAAATCGAGGTGTGGGCGGCGTCTGTCCCCTGTCGTAAGATCCGCGCCACTTCCGGAGCAAATTTCAGACTTGGTGGATCCCTTTTTTCACTCCGAACTTCAATCATTGCTTCGGTAGGGGGTTTAACCAGGGCCCGGCGGGGGTGGCGCTTGCACAGGCTGGATATCGTTTTTGGCCCGAAAAAGCAAAGGGGATATCGTAATCAGGGGTCCGGGGCGGAGCCCCGGAAAAAAAATCGACACAGGTCTGTACAAGAGATGCAACATTGTCACGCAATGCATTATGCATGAATAGTTACTTACAATTCCACACTGGGTTGTGTTGGAAAATTAGTAGGTTCGTATATCATTATTCTGAGTTGTTTCAATTTCTATTTAAAGAACTAAACATCTGCAACTGATGCTAAAAAATATTCGCCCTCTACGCCGCCTAGAGAGGAAGGGTGCTGTTCCGCTTTCGAATCATGTTTATGCGGAAAAGCGAATCATAATGAGCAGATGTAAAATCATTTGTGTACACTATAGGAAAGCTCATTTTCAAACTGTTTTAACAACTTCACAAATTGCTCTACACTCAACGGATTTTTGTAGTTGACGTCGATTGCTTAGATTTCCGGGTTTCTTGAGTACACTGAAACTTTTGTCAAACCATATGAGCTCAAAGAAAAATTACGATTCGCTGGTGATTAATTCAGATCCATGCAAATTGAAATCTAAAATAAGTGTAACTGTGAAAAAGCTATTTCCCTCTTCAATATATTCAATCTTAGGACTTCCATGAAAAAGTCTATGTTGAGCATTCAAAGATTTCAGAAATATGTCTTGCAGAAGTCTGCGTTTGCAAAAAAACTGGCTGCTTTTGAAAAATGGAAATGTAGATAAGTGGAAAATTGGTCCTGAACAAGTGAGATTGCGGATTTAAACGCTTAGACACCGGTGATTGCTATCTATTGAAGGGGGGGGAACAATGTTGCATCAAACTGATTTATGACCATTTCTCAATTCCTCGTCTGCAAAGCTTGACCAATTAAATTAAAATGAATGAATTCAGGAATCCATGCAGACAGTGTGTACTGTATTAGCGAGATTGCAGAAAATTTCAAAAGAGAAGCGAGTGCCAGCTTGCTTTGCTGAACAAAACTTTTCCTTTTCTAATTTGGTGAAAGGAATTTACAGCTTAAGCTAATTTTTTCTTTGGGATTTACAAGAATAGCCTTCTTTACAGATGAAAACAAGTCGCTTGCATACTCTATATGCTCAAACAGCAGAGCACAGAGAGCACATCTACAAATACTTTGCGGCGTTATCCAGGATTAAACGGGAATTTATCCTCTTTCCCATCCTTCCCCCGCCTCTGGCTCTCATTGTAGTTGTACTACGGATACATACACAATGACCACAAACATTCGCCTTTCTTGCTGTTGAACTGCCTCATGAACTCGAAATGCAGCCAGCAGTACAATTTGGCGCTCCAAAATTCACCTTGCCAGCGCGCGGGAATTCAAACGGGTATTTATGTATTGAGAAAATGAAGTGACAGGCTCGTTTGAAGAGTATAGGCAACTTTAAGTCGCCAATTTTAGTCCATAGGAGCGTGGTAAGGAGTAGAGAAGATCTACGAAAAATTATGAAAAACTTATGTGAATAGCAAGAGTGGTAAGTGTTTTTCGAAATTAGGTGGCTCCCGCGCCACCTGGGAGCCACCTGGGGTGGCTCCCTGCTTCCCTTCACATAAGTTTCCGGATTTCCCGACATAAATGTGTTCTACGTCAAAAACTTCTACTACTAATACAAAGCTGATTTCAAATCATAGAGGCGCCTCTCTGATACGGACCCAAATATATTGTCATCGCAATGTGAAAACATAGAAAGCGCGCCCCAGTCGCAAAAGTGTGCGCCGCCAATCGCAACCATGAAAAATGTGTTATTTTGCACACTATTTTCAAATGCTTTGATTTTTTAAGTTGCTTTGGTCTTACCTACGTTGTTTTCATGCGATTATTATTTGCCTCGTTCTTCTTGTTTTGTCATGCGCTAATCATCATATTTAGGTAAGCAAGGAACTGATTGGAACAAACACGCTTCAAACAGGAAGCGTAGTCTTGGATCAACTCGCTCCCATGTTTCAGTGTGAGTATCATGGGATTCGTCTCATGATTTTTCCTTTTTGATGAACTCTTCTTCCTTACTTTGCTTTAATTTTAGCACTGAATTTTTACTAAAGTCTACATTTTGTTGTCGTTTTTGTTTCACTTTTCCCGGAATTGCGGATGCTTAAACTAGCCGTAGTTAATCTTCACAAAAATTTCGTCGAGATCTTTTTTGCATGACTTTGGTTGATGATTACTGGGTAGAACGTGAGCATTGCAGATGTACTGACACGTGCCAGCTTGGAGGGACTCTCTCAGTGAAGAAATAAGAGTATGTGCGCGGCTGAGAGCAAAGTAGGTCAGCTGGTTGTTTTGAATTATGGTATCCATTGAATTCCTTTTTCATTAACCAGTTTCAGCGGGAGATATCACTGGCGCGGAGATTGAAGGCTTCCTCTATGACAATGTGCAAAAAATACTGATCGCAAAGATAAGGTAAGTATTTCGTTTCTTAGCCTTTGTTCTAACCTAAGGTTTTCTGCATGAGTTATTTTCACATTATTTCTTCGGAAATGATGTTCTTGACAATTTTTGAGAGCGACTCAATCCCAACCCCTTTCATTGAATTCGAAGCGATGTTTTTTTACACATCGCTGGAGAAGAATAGTTGATTCGTTAACCGCATGGACTGGACATCACTGCGGAGCACGGCCGCGAGGTAAAACGCTCCCTCACTCAGACAATCACAGGCCCTCAGCCGGCAGCCACAAAGCCACCGCGAAAACCCACCAAAAGCGCAGTGGCCTCATCGCGGCCACTTTCGCTTCCCGCTGAAGCCCTCATAGCAGCCCGCCCGCTGCCAGCTTTAGCCTCCCGCTCATTGCCAGTTTGTAGCCCGCTCGCTTACAGTTCTCAGCGGGAAGCGGCAGTGAGGCGATAAGGCCACGGCGCTTTTGGTGGGTTTTCGCGGTGGCTTTGTGGCTGCCGGCTAAAAATCTTGTCTGTGTAGCTTCTTGTTATGCTTGGACTACAACGCTGTAACTTCAATTAATTTATTATAACGATGACAAGTAACAATGAAGAACATAACCGTCTGGAGATATGAAAACATGGAGAAATAAATATGGAATGAATGAAAGAGAGCTATGGCATCATACGCACCGCTACACTTCAGATCAAGTCAAGTCATCATCAGATGAAAATCAGAAACAGAGCCAATATCCCAATATATATATATAATAGAAATTACAATCAATATTCAAATCATTTGCCTTAATGCACCGTAAAAGGAGGGGGTTTTCCGTAGATTACACCCATAAGCTTCTCCATCCTCCTTACTGCTTCTTTTGACATTCTCGAGTGCTCCACAAGGGCAGCATAGTAGAGAACGCGATCGCTGAGCGCTAAGCGATAATGCTTTAACGCAAAGAGTAGTCCATGGATACAAAGCTTTGCTTACACAAAGGTTCTTCCTCGTCGCCTACAGGGGTGTCTTCTTCAAAATCACTAGTACTCTGTGAACTTTCCTCAAAAGCAGTAGGAAGTTCATCGAAAGCACTAGACTCGTCTTCAAGCATGTCTCCAGCATGTTCGCCTATATGAATGATACTAGATAATCAACCATAGAACAACCGTGAAGGTGGTTAGTGGTTAGCAGTTGTCGTGGTTAGTAATTAGTAAAAGTTATTTAAGCGTCACTTCATATAATCCTTGAAGCTGACTACAATTCAAACATTGATTACTACGTTCTACTTCTATGCAAAAGCTATCCGTCCAGGTTGACTAGATAGACCGAGATCTCACGTTAAGCATGAAAAATAGTAGTAAACGCCCCAACGCATGTAAATCGCATTGAGCTACATCATAAACTGCTTTATGGTGGAGGCTGAGCGCACTAAGTAGATTGCAAATTGTGATGAATGTTTTGATGAATCGTTTAGACATGCAAACTAGCCTGGCACTTCGTCCCCTTCGTTGAGCATAAATTGCCGTTCTCCTGGCCTTCTATCGCGCAATTGCGCGATCACACGTACATTCTCCCGACTTTCAAGCAGCCGTGCAGAAAGGCCTCTAAACTTGACCACTGCAGCAATAACCAACTGAAGCGCTCATGTGCTTACTTGCAGCCTTTTTTACTCCTGTGTCTTCGTATCTGAACTTCCTCTTGGGCGCCATGCGTGTCAGACTTCCTAAAAAAAGTTTTTAGATACTGTCGCAAACATCGAATCGAGAGAGCAATGTGACGTACTTTGAAGTGCAAACACTGAACAAGCAAATAGCGGGACCGAAGTCCGCAAGAATTCGTAAAAATCACCTTTGTGTACTTTTCCCCTGTTTCTTTTCCCCCTTTACAGATCACCTGACCGACGCTGCCCACGCGGTGTGATATGCCAGTATCTGGAACAGAGTAAAGTTGAATGGAATTTAACACCAATCAATACCCATGCAACACGTAGGGTGCATGGCGCGGGCGTATATGCGTGAATGCACTATCTTGTGTACGCATGACGTAACGCATGAAGAGAATAATCAAGAAGTCGAAAAAAAGATGACTTGGCTTTTGAATTGGAATTTCGAATCAAGGTACCAAATTACAACAAGCTCTAATTGAGCAGGCTTTGTGCAAATGTGGACATTCTCCAATCGACAGCCAATAAGAAGGATCATAAGCAAAGAGCCTGCAGAGGGACCGTACATGCACCAAAAATTGTGTAAATGACGCCAAACCAATAGGTACTTCATTCGTTTCAATATGATGATGCAACACGTACGCAACGAAATAACTAGAACTACAAGTAACTTTGAGAAAAGCAGAATAACAACATGTCAAGTATAGAATGTGCGCACTAACTAATGTGGTCGTGTGAAGAAAACATCACATATGAAGAAAGTTACAACGTATATGCGTCAAAATCATAAATTACGATTTTGTGCAAATAGGCGTACTTTGCAGTGTATCACGTCGTAATTCACTCCAACTATCTAATATGCGTGGGAAAATCGATATACCGTTAAGTAATCATCTTATTCAATTGATAGAATAAGTCAAGCTAGTGTTCAGATCCTCGTAGTATATACATGCTGCATCACCAAGCAATGTTTACTGTTTGAGATCTGGCAAATACCGTTGAAACCACGTTACAAGAAGTTCATTCAATGAAAGACTTATATGTCAGAACTAACCGTATTCATGAAATCTCTATGTACGCCCAAATGATTTGGGACCGTACACACACCAAAGTAGTGTCAATAACAACAAACTCAACAGTACTTCATTCGTTCCACTGTGGTGATGCAACATGTATGCCACGAAATAACTAGATCTACAAGTGAATTTGAGAAAACCAGTATACCAATTCATCAAATATAGATTGTGCGCAATAACTAATGTGGTTATGTGAAGAAAACATCACACGCGAAGGAATTTGCAACTTATATGCGTCAAAATCATAAACTACGATTTTGTGCAAAATTTTGACGTACTTTGCAGTGTATCACGTTGTAATTCACTACAACTATCTGTTATGCGTAAGAAAATTATTAAAAAGTGACCTAACCCTTACTTTATGTGTATTTGACTAGTAAATGATCATATAAGTATCCTACATAGCGGATAATACATAACGCCGATCATGGGAAGGATTGCGCGCCCCACGTGCTATGAATGAATAGATGGAACAAAGAAGTGAATAGTGAAGTGAAGATTGAAAATGAGTGAATAGAACAAGGAAAAGCAAAGATGAAAACAAACATTAGGCAACAAGAAATGAAAAAATGACGCGAGCCCACGCTGCCAATCTCGTTTACCTGCACATCTAACTTTACTGGTGCGATCCACAATGTCTCGAGCGGGCAACGATATGGCTTCCAGTTGGCAGCGACAATGCGGCGTTATGAATTAAGGCTGCCTGCTCATAGCATTGATGCGGCCCGCTGACAGAAATCTTGTATTCGCAGCCCCATCGTTTCACGGTCGCTGCCAGCTTAACGGAGTCGCTGCCTCATCGTCGCCTTTTGGCTGCTTTTGTAGGAATGAATGCGCTCTGCAGCTATTTTCTGACTCATGGAAGATTATAGCTGCCCGCTGGTAGCCCGTCGCTGCCCGCTCACCGCCATTCCTACAATGTCGTCGCCCGCTCACTGTCACTTTTGCACTATCGCCGCCCGCTCAGTGAAACTGCCCTTTATCGCCGCCGGCTGAGGGCCTGTGATTGTCTGAGTATATAGCTGACTTGTTTACTTAAACAAATACGATATCGTATCATATCATTTAGCCCATCATTTCTCAACACCTCCCTCCTAAGACAAAGAATATCCGCTTTGGACTGGATGTGTTTTAAAGTAAGATGTAAGTAAAGGTTAGATCTTACGAAGATTTGCAGCGAACCTTTTGCTCGTGAAACGTATAGCACGGATTTGAAAACGTAACGACCCCAGAGGTCATCAAAGTCATGGATCTCATGCTTTCGATTTCGATTTTCTTATCAAAAGTGGCAACGAATTATGGCTGCTTCCTCTCAGCTTCTTCAAACCGCATCGCTCCTTCCTTTGCTTTATAGATACTCGAATTTTGTATAGCATTTTGCTATCCGACAATTTGAGAATTGCACCCCCCCCCTCAACACCTTTTCACCCATGAGCAAGCGCTCAAACCCGGCAAAGTTTTATCAGCCACGTGCACTCTTCCCACTTGGGCCTTTTTCACACTGAATGACCCTCCCCCCAAGCTGCCTTATAACCTCCACTCCCTCAAAAGATAGTTCTTGCTTCACAAAAGTTCACATGGGAATGGTCAGAAGTCGAAGTGGCCAATCCAAGCAAGCTGCCTACCATTCAATGCAGCGTTAAACGTTGGTTTCAAATCTGTATTCCATGTCTGCTTAGCGGATGTGGATGAAGTTATGAGCTGTTTTATTGCGAGAGAATCGTATACACTAAAACTGCGAAATTGAGCACATTGTTGCACTTTCAGCTCACCATTGGGCTTTGAGTTGAGTAATCTAACTGCATGTTTTGGCCTAGCATTAAGTCCAACATGGCTCTGTACCGCCAAATTTGCGCTTTTCATGCACGATTTCTCAGCAGATTAATGACATTTAACGGCTAATAACTTCGCCCACAAAGGCGCGCAGATGTGGAATCAGACTCGAAGTTAGCGTTTTATGCTGCACCTAATGGTATGCAGCTTGTATAAACTGGCCACTTCGGTTTCTAAACATTCCCATGTCAGACTACTCTACTCTTTCCGAAATCAAATTAGCGAGTGAATTCGAATTGACATTTTTGAAAATTTAGCCAACATTCAAACTATCAAATTTAGAGTTTTTCTTATCATATCTCCTCTTTCTCTTTACCGGGTATTCTTTAGAAGCGTGAAAATTCCTCCTCCACTTCAAGAAATTTTACTCTCAAAATCTCGATCGCGTTTCATAAGGGATTTCCAAACTGTCCAGCATCTTTGCAATTCATCCAAAAGAGCTTCAAAATTCACTCAGTTTTTAGGTTATCTTATTATTAGCAAGCTACCGATTCAAATTCTTCAAAAAACCTACTCAAGCGTGTCTATGCTTTAGCTGCTCACCTAAGCAAATCTCGGTTCCTTACACAATGTTGAAGCTGTGCAATGTTCACATTCGAAGAGCATACAACGCATAAAAATCGGGGATTCTGGATAGACTGTTTTTACAGCTTTTTCGAAAGTGCATTAGCAGAGAACGTTGAACAGAAAAATTTTCATACATTGATTATAGGAAAAATACTCACAATTACTCAAAATTACTTTAAGAAGCATGTAAGATCTTTAAAAGCGCGAATTTTTGAATTTTTTGAAACGCACGGTGAAAACTATGATGCACTAAAATACATCCTTTGACACCTTTGAGTAGTAGACATTTGCAGAATGAATGATCTTTGTAAATGCCTTTTGAATGGCATGTTACGGGAGCTGGGAGGGGTGCTTGCGCTTTATATATAGTATGATTCTTAGGATTGACTTGTAGCTGATAAGGTGCTTTCGGTGTCGGACTGGATACTTCTTAGAAGATGATGGTGTTTTCGGCTTTGGTGACAGCGTGGATGGTTCGGCTTGACTCGGCATATCTGTAACAAAGTGTTGGCTGCTTGCATTTCTGGATATGTGCGTTTCTTCTTTGGCTTTCAGAGAACTTTAGATTTTCACGGCGCATCTGATTAGCATGCCTTCTCCAAAGAAGCTTATCTTCACTTTCCACATCGTACAGAACTTCTCCCAAACGTTCTTCACTACAGCTGGAATCCAAAGTTGATGTCTGGGCCAGTAGTCTCTGACCCAAACATGTTCATTTCGATGGAACGATCTGGACCTTGTACCATGTTGTCGGTTGAAGTGTTCCATTCGAATATTATGTTCTCCTTCTTTCCTTGGTGGTTTATATATTAGTGCAAGTGTCGTTCTGATTGGTCGTCCCAGAAAGAGTTCGGCTAGATAGTATTCCAGGTAAAGCAGCACTCGCCGTTCTTTGATAGCTCTGCAGGAACTTTGCCAATTTTTCTGACATCTCTTCTCCTCCCTTCATTTTCTGGAGTGTTCGCTTTCAGGTGTCTACGAAACGCTCGGCTTGACCGTTGGACTGTGGATGATATGATGGCGATGGAATACGTTCTATTCCATGGACTTTGCAGAAATCTTGAAACTTTTCTTGTTGACTTCCGTCACCAGGCACTAGGATCCGCGAATTTTCGAAATGAGCAAACACCTAGTTCAATTTTCTAAGTGTAGCCTTGATCGAAGAGGATGACATCTCGTAGACTTCTGGCCCATTGGAGTATGCGTCGACAAGTACGGGGTATGTTCTTCCATTGAGGTCCTGCAAAGTCAATATGTACTCTGTCCCACGGCTTGTCTTCTGTAGGCCGTCCATAGGCTCAATTGCGTTTTTACCGGCATCTTTGCCGCTTCTTGACAGCTGCGGCATTGGCCCACAGTCTCTTTAATTTCCCTGTTGATGTTCGTCCAAAACACGTATCCTCGGGGTTGCCAATTCGATGACCAAAATGTAAGCATCGTTTTGCGGTCGATAGTTCTTCATTCAATGCTTTCCAGTTCTTGAGTTGGTCGTCTGGTTTCGTAGGCCAATTGCCATTCTTCTGTACTCGCATAAGCTTCGATATGATGTTTCCTTTTCGGATTCCTTTTTCAACTATCTCCCTAGTGAAAGGTAGGGACTCAACAGCAGCGGCTTGTATGGCAAGCATGTCCTGTTCTATTTTGGCTGTGACGATATCTTCAGTTTAACTCGATTTTGCAGGATTTAGACGTGACGAGGCGTCAGCTAGTCCAAATGCTGGTTTTTCTGTACTGCAGATCAAAGTCGTATCTAAGTAGCATCAGCTTCCATCATTGAAGTCGATTTGCTGTGTAGGTAGATACCATATTCTTAGGTCCAAATATGTGCAGCAATGGTTTGTGATCCATTAACAGCGTGAAGCGACGTCCGTAAAGGTACCGATGGCATTTACATATTGCAA